TTGGCAATTGAGACAGTATATCAAGATGCAAATGCCTGGTTGAAATGGGTCAAATATTACGTCCACACATTAAACAAAAGCAATTGTTACGCTTGTGGGCATGGCAGGCCAGAGGCTCAGATTGTCCCCTTTCCCCTAGGATGGTCCTCCAGTTGACCAGGCATGGGCTGCAGGGTAACTCTTTCCCAGGATTCTAGAGCCTGGGATAACAAGTCCTGCCAAGTTCTCTCTCTCTGCTATATCCCGAAGTTTGACAAACTGATTATAGAATTATCCTATTTATGTTCTTTTCTGCATGGGTTCTAATTAATGTGTGGGATCACTTAATTTCATTCAGAAGACCATTTTTAGTATTTTTATAAAGCAGATTACCTAGCAACAAATCTCAGAATTTTTATTTAGGACTATCTTTATTTTACCATAATTTTTAAAAGGTAGTTTTGTTCAATATAAGATCCTTAATTGATTGTTTCTTTCTTTCAACACTTTGAATATGCCATTCGATAACTTCTGGACTTCATAGTTTCTGATGCTAAGTTAATGTTAATATCATTGGGCTCCCCTTTTACATGATGATTTGTATTTCTCTTCCTGTTTTAAAGACTTTTTCTTTAACAATTTTTAATATAATGGGTCTCTGTGTGGATTTCTTTGTGTTTAATATGGTTGGGTTTCGCTAAGTTTAAATGTGTAGATTTTCATACATTAAATATTTTCAGTTATCATTTCTTCAAATATTCTTTTTGCTCTTTTCTCTCTCTGTTCACCTTCTAGTGTTTCTATTATTGTATTTGTTCTAATTCTTTTACCTTTTGTTTTTGTTTGTGTATGTAGGTTTTGTTTTTGTTTTTTTGTTTTCTATTTTTTTGAGATGGAGTCTCCCTCTGTTGCCCAGGCTGGAGTGCAGTGGTACGGTCTTGGTTCACTGTACCTCCACCTCCTGGGTTCAAGTGATTCTCCTGCGTCAGCCTCCCAAGTAGCTGAGACTACAGACAAGGGCCATGCTACCACACCAGGCTAATTTTTGTAGTTTTAGTAGGGACAGGGTTTCGTAATGTTGGTCAGGCTATTTTGAACTCCTGACCTCAGGAGATCCACCCACCTCAGCCTCCCAGGTGCTGAGATTATAGGCATGAGCCACCGGGCCTGGCATGATTCCTTTTCCTGATAGTTCAGATCTACTACTTACACACTCTAGTGAAGTTTTCTTTGAAATTATTGTACTTTTCAAGTCTAGAATTCCCATTTATTCCCTTTGAAAGTAATTTCTCTTTGTTGATATTCTCTAAGTGATAAGACATGATTATGAACTGAATCGTGTCTCCTCATAATTCTTATTTGAAGCTTTCACCTCCAATGCAAATATATTTGGAGATAGAGACTTAAAGGAGGTAATTAAGTGTAACTGAAGTCAAAGGGCGGGGGCCCTTTTCCAATGGTACTGGTGTCCCTATAAGAAGAGGGAGAGACACCTGAGAGTGCTCTCTCTCATGTGTGCTTTCTATCCATCCATCCGCACTCACAGAGAAGAGTCCTTGTAAGTCGGCAGCTGTCTGCCAGTCAGGAACAGAGGCAACACCAGAAATCAACCTTGGCAGCACTTTGATTTTGGACTTTTAGCCTTCAGAACTGTGAGAAAAACAATTTCTGATGTTTAAGGCACCCAGTGCAGTATTTTGTTCTGGCAGTCTGAGCAGCAAATACACACATTGTCACCATACCCACTTTTATGCTTTAATTATGGTTACCTTGAATTATCTGAACCTATTTATAATAACTGCCTTGTAGTCATTGCTAAGTCTAACATCTTGGACTCACACAGATTTTTTGTTGCTTACTTTTCTTCCCCCTGTGTATGGGTTATGCTTTACTATTTGTTTGAATGGCTCATAATTTTAAACTAAAAACTGGTCATTTTATTTTTATTTATTTATAATGTATTTATATTAAAATTTCAACATTTTTTGATTCATGGGGTACATGTGCAGGCTTGTTACCTGGGCATACTGCACGTTGCTGAGGCTTGGTGTATGAATAATCAATCCTATCACCAAGGTAGTGAGCATAGTACCCAATAGGTAGTTTTTCACCTCCTGCCCCCCGCCCACCTCTCTACCTGTAGTTGTCGGTGTCTATTGTTATCATCTCTGTGTCCATATCTACCCAATGCTCAGCACCCACTTCTAAGTGAGGACACACTATATTTGGTTTACTGTCCCCAGGTTAATTTGCATAGATTAATGGCCTCTGGCTGCATCCATGTTGCTGCAAAGGAGATTTTACTCTTTTTAATGGCTATATAGTATTTCATGATATATTTTCTTTATCCAATCCACCACTGATCGGCACTCAAGTTGACTCCATGTCTTTGTGATTGTGAACAGTGTTGCAATGAACATATAAGTGCACGTGTCTTTTTGGCAGAATCATTTATTTTCTGTTGGATACATATCCACTAATGGGATTGCTGGATAGGATAGTAGTTCTAAGTTCTTTGGGAAATCTCCACACTACTTTCCACAGTGGCTGACCTAATGCGTGTTCCCACCAATAGTGTATAAGTGTTCCCTTTTCCCCACAGCCTTTCTAGCATCTGTTGTTTTTTGATTTTTAAGTAACAGTCATTCTTGCTGGTGTGAGACGGCATCTCACTGTGGTTTTGATTTGCGTTTCTCTGCTGATTAGTGATATGGAACCTTTTTTCATATGTTTGTTTGCACCTTGTATATCTTCTTTTGAGAAGTGTCTGCTCATGTCTTTCGTTCACTTTATGATGGGATTGTTTTTTGCTTGTTGAGATGTTTATGTTCCTTATGGATTCTGGATATAGACCTTTGTCATATCCATAGTTTGTGAACATTTTATCCCATTATGTTGGTTGTCTGTTTACTCTGTTAGTACTTTCTTTTGCTGTGCAGAAGCTCTTCCATTTAATTAGGTCCCACTTGTCAATTTTTGGTTTCATTCAAATTGCTTTTGAGGACTTAATCATAAATTATTTCCCAAGGCCAATGCCCAGAATGGTGTTTCTTGTTTTCTTCTAGGATTCTTATAGTTTATGGTCTTACATTTAAATTTGGAATCTATCCCAAGTCACTTTTTGTATATGATAAAAGGTAGGGGTCTAGTTTCATCTTCATATGGCTAGCCAGCTATCTCAGTACCATTTATTGCATAGGGAATCTTTCCCCATTGCTTATTTTTGTTGACTGTCAAAGATCAGATAGCTGTAGGTGTGTGGCTTTCTTTCTGGGTTCTCTTTTCTTTTTCTTTGGTCTACATGTGTGTTTTAGTATCAGTATCATATTGTTTTGGTTACTATAGCCTTATAGTATAGTTTGAAGTCAAGTAATGTGATACCACAAGGTTTGTTCTTTTTGCTTATGATTGCTTTGGGTATTCAGGCTCTTTTGTTTGTTTGTTTGTTTGTTTGTTTTGTTGTTGTTCTATATGAATTTTAAAACAAAAACTGGATGTTTGGAAGATATAGAAAAATCTAGATATTGATTTACTCATTATATTTCAAAACTTGCTGTTTGCTTTTTAATGATTTTTTTGAGTACTTTACTACAGTATCTTTCTCCACAACAAGAAGCTTCCAATATTGTTCCTCTGGGATCACTGCTTTTGGTATGCTCACTGCCACCTTTGAATGATAGTGATTTGGTTTACTATTCCTATGTTAATTAGGCTCTCTCTAACTGTCTCTTTCCCGTATTTCTCTATTAAGCTCCTGCCTCTTTCAGTGTGTCACCAAAGATCAAGGAAAAAGATGTCTAACACTGTTATTTCAGAACTAAATTTAGCTGTGTTGTAATCATTGAATGGTGTAAGACAACTAAATAACTTTACTGTAGCTGAGATATTATAATTTTACTTACATTTTTATCAAATACAGAGAATAGGCAGCCAGTAAAAGGACTATCACATTCATAAGTTAGTCTGTATGCTTTTACAAATTTAAGGCAACTTTCCTCTCTAAGCCAGAAATATAAAATGATAAGTACAGCATTTGTCTTCATTTTTTTCAACTTTCATTTTAAGTTCAGGGGTACAAGTGCAAGTTTGTTACACAGGTAAACTTGTGTCATGGGGGTTTGTTGTACAGATTATTTCATCACCCAAGTATTAAGCCTAGTACCCATTAGTTATTTTTTCTGATCTTGTCCTCCCTTCATCCTCCACTCTCCAAAAGGCCCCAATGTGTGTTGTTCCCCGTCTACATGCCCATGTGTTTTCATCATTTAGCTCCCATTTATAAGTGAGAACGTGAAGTATTTGGTTTACAGTTCCTGTGTTAGTTTGCTAAGGATGATGGCCTCCAGCTCCATGTCCCTGCAAAGGACATAATCTTTTTTCTTTTTCATGGCTGCATAGTATTCCATGGTGTATATGTACCAAATTTTCTTTATCTAGTCTATTACCGATGGGCATTTGGGTTGATTTCACATCTTTGCTATTGTGAATAGTGCTGTATTATATAAGGGTAAAGGTTCAATTCAACAAGAAGATCTAACTATCCCAAATATATAAATGTCTAACACAAGAACACCCAGATTCATAAAGCTAGTTTTTACAGACCTTCAAAGAGACTTAGACTTTGACACAATAATAGTGGGAGACTTTAACACCCCACTGATAATATTAGACAAATAATTGATATAGAAAATTGTATCAGAGATATTCAGGACCTGAACTCACCACTGAATTAAAGTATAGCATTTGAAATAATAGCATCAGCACATATTTAGTTCACAACAGCCTTGTGTTTTTATGAATTACTTTACCAATGGATGAGTTCTAAAACTATCATATCTAACTAATGCTCCACTGATAGCAAATACTAGAGTTCCACAAATTATAGGAGGAAATTCAGGAAGACGTTTTCTCATGTAATAATAACTTACAGCTACAGTTGTCATCAAAGATCCATATTTAATTTAACTTCAGACAAGCTAAATAAGCCATTAACAGGAGACTTGAAAAATTCTTGTTCTTACCTGCATGACTCTTTAATTGTATGTCCATTAGCTGCTTTATGATATCTTTTCCATTAATGTCTTTCAAGCGTTTTAGGACAGCCTCTATAAAAATAAAACAGATTATCAAAATGCTTTGAAAGGTAAATTGTAACATATGTCTATGTCTGTGTATATGTTATATTTGTATGTATGAATAATAACTTAATTAGCATCAGTAATTAAAGAAGAGGAATTAGTTAAAGATCTGGACTGCAGAATCACAAAGCCTTAGAATTGGGAGCAGTCTTAGCAATTATGTAAGCCTAGAAAAGTTTAGTGATTTGAACAAAATCAGATACATAGTTAACTATAAAACTTATACAGAAATAGATGTTCATTATTCCTTAACCAGTGCTTTTTTCTATACAATGCTGCCTCTTCTGCAAACTAAAATTATCCTAGAGAGTTTATGATATGAATATAATTTTTAAACATATTCGTACTGTATATGGATATACCTGGTGAGGTGAAATATAATTTTATTCACAAGTCAACTTGTAAACTATGGTCTTTATAGTCACAGAAAGTTACCATCAAGGAGAAATTATCTGATTCTTCTAAGAATATGTTAGCCTCTTTTTATGTCACATAACTATAAATTACATGACAGCAGTGATTATCGTGGACTGGTGGAAATGCCCTCTCAGGTCCATTTAGAATGTAGACTTCATAGATGGAGAGGAAGAAACAGCTAGATTTGCATTCATATCAACATTGAAATTGGATCCCTTTCCCTTTGAGTTTTAATATAATTTGAACTTTTTGCTTGGTTTTGAAATTACTAATAGGGTCAATGAAGGCAAAATAAAATAAAAATTAATAAAGAAAATTCATATTAAAAATGGAATAATCTGGATTGATGAAGCTGGGTCATCTAGTGGACTTCAATTTTTGTAGGTGAAATTGGGTCTTAGCAGAGCATGTGACTGTAGTGTGAAAACTGCAATGACCCAGATATCATAAAGTTTTTCTCTAAAGAAATGGTAAAATAAAAGTTACCATGAATAAATTTTAGGGCTGCACAATGACCTTTACATCCTATATGTACCACCATTACAATATGTGTAGAAGTAGGAACAATTTAGGGAATCGTCTCCAAAATGAAAAGATGCATCAGATTGAGAGAACAAGTTATTAATTTAATTAAAATAGTTTGTGGAAATGATGACCTATAGCAACAACAACAACAACAACAAAAATCTGAGGAACATTAGCAGACATATTTCAACGTCTTTAGTTATTTCCCCAACTGGTATAAGCAAGGAGTGCTGATTCATTTGAATTAGGCAAGCAAAAGTTTCTTAGATAAGTAATGAATATTTGAGGACAGATAGGTTTAAGCACTAAGAATACAAAAATATGTGCCAGAGAAACATATTTTAGTAAGGGCCACAATTTTCCCCCTTCATAACACCCTCCCAGGACTTTACATCTCTTTTTAAAACTGTCACTCGTGGATTTTATTGAGCTTTCTTTTTTTTTTAAAGTGTAATATATCATACAATTTGCTCTTGTAAAATCATCTAATTCAAGAGTTTTTAATATATTTACAGACTTGTTAAACCATCAACACAGTCATTTTTAGAATCTACTTGAGATTTATTCTAATGAATTTCCAGTAAACTATACAAGCATTATTGCTATATTTTCTATTTCCTCTTCCTGACATTTGTACTGTTGGTATATCTATAAATATTAAAAGACATTGTTACAATTATTTCTCTATATAACTTTATGCCTTTTAAAGAACTAAGAAAATAAAAAAGAACAAGTACATATTTATAATGTTTGTTATATGAACATTCTTGTTTATAATTTCTGGTTCTTTTTATTATTTCCTGTGGATTTGAGTTACCATCTATTGTCATTTTCTTACTCCAGCATGCTATTGCTCCCACCCATTTCCTTTGTGCTGCTATTGTCAAATATATTGCATGTCTGTTACATGTCTATCATGTGATAGGTCCCAAAATACAGTTACAGATCAATTTTATATATCTATATATTGTACCACACAATTACATTTTAAATCAATGAAGAGAAAAAAAATGCATTTATATATTACTGTGTAATATAATTATTTCACTAATGATTATGTTGAAAAAATTACAATGTGAGGAAACTTGTTTTCAGCCTGAGGAACTTTCTTATTTTTTTTTTTATAACATGGCTTGATACCAAATAATTCTGTAAAGTTTTATTTCAGATTCTTTTTGAGTTTCACTTTTAAAAATAATTTGCCAAACGTAAGATTATTGGTTGATATTCCTTTCTTTCAGCCCTTTGAAAATGCTATCCCACTGCCTTTTGGCTTCCATAGTTTGTTTTTTGGTGGTGGTGGTGTTTGTGTGTGTGTGTGTGTGTGTGTGTGTGTCTTCCCAAGACAGAGCCTCGCTCTGTTGCCCATGCTGGAGTACAGTGGCACAATCTCGGTTCACTGCAACCTCCACCTCCTGGGTTCAAGTGATTCTCCTGCCTCAGCCTCCAGAGTAGCTGGGATTACAGGCCTACACCACCATGCCCAGCTAATTTTGTATTTTGGTAGGTTTCACCATGTTGGCCAGGCTGGTCTTGAACTGCTGACCTTGTCATCCACCTGCAGTGGCCTCCCAAAGTTCTGGGATTACAAGCTTGAGCCACTGTTCCCTGTCTTGGCCTGTAGAGTTTCTGATGCTATGCCACCTATTAACCTTACTAGAATTAACTTTCGTATGGTTACAGTCATGTAACTATACAAAATGATGTTGGAACCATACATAAAAAGGTGATTCCATAAAATTGTAATGGAGCTGGAAATTTCTATCACTTAGTGATGTTGTAGCCATTGTAACATCTTAATGCAATAAATTACTCATATGCCTGTGATGATGCTGGCGTAAACAAACCTACTCTGTTGCCAGTAAATAAAAATATAGCACATAGAATTATGTACAGTACATAACACTTAATGATAAGAACAAAAAGCTGTTCCTGGTTTATATATTTACTATCCTTTTTGGTTTAATTTGAGTGTGTATACTTCTACTTACAAAAAATGTTAACTGTAAAACAGCCTCGGCCAGGTCCGTCAGCACGTATTCCAGAAGAAGGCATTGTTATCACAGGAGATGAAAGCTTCATGTGTGTTATTTCCTCTGAAGACTTTCCACTGGGGTAAGATGTGGAGGTGGAAGACAGTGATGATTTTGATGATCCTGATCCTGTGCAGGTCTAGGCTAATGTGTGTGCTTTTGTCTCAGTTTGTAACAAAAATGTTTTAAAATTAAAAAAAAAATTTAAACAAAAAGCAGCTTATTGAATAAGAATATAGAAAATGTTTTTGTACAACTGTACAATAAGTTTGTGTTTTATGTTAAATGTTATTATAAAACTCCAAACCAAAAAAATAAAAATAAAAAAAGTTTATAAAGTTGAAAAGTTATAGTAAGCCAAGGTTTTTTTTAATTTTTATTTATTTTTATTTTTATTTTTATTTTTTTGAGATGGAGTTTCACTCTTGTTACCCAGGCTGGAGTGCAATGGCGCGATCTCGGCTCACTGCAACCTCCGCCTCCTGGGTTCAGGCAATTCTCCTGCCTCAGCCTCCTGAGTAGCTGGGATTACAGGCACGCGCCTCCGTGCCCAGCTAATTTTTTGTATTTTTAGTAGAGACGGGGTTTCACCATGTTGACCAGGATGGTCTCGATCTCTTGACCTCGTGATCCACCCGCCTCAGTCTCCCAAAGTGCTGGGATTTCAGGTGTGAGCCACCGCGCCCGGCCTGCCAAGGTTATTTTTAAGAAGAGATTTTTACAAAGAAATTTCATGTAGCCTAAGTGTATATATGGTGTTTACAAAGTCTACTGTAGTGTACAATAATTCCCTGGACATTTGCATTCACTCACTGCTCACTCACTGACTCACCCAGAACAACACTCAGTCTTACAAGCTCTAGTCATGGCAACTGCCATATACAGGGTTACCATTTTTAATATTTTATACAGTATTTTTACTGTATCTTTTCTATGTTTAGATACAGAATTGCTTACTCTTGTGTTATCACTGCCTGTGGAATGCAGTCCAGTATACAAGTTCATAGCCTAGGAGCAATAAGCTATCCAATATAGCCTACACGTGTAGAAAGCTATAGCACCTAGGTTTCTGTAAGTATACTCTATGATGTTTGCATGATGATGAAGTTGCCTAATGACACATTTCTCAGAACACATTAGGCAATACATGACTGTAGTTGTTCTCTTGCCACTTCAAGTTTTTCACTTTGTCTCTCAATGTTGTTTTTAATTAATTAATCAATTGTTTTATTATACTTTAAGTTCTGGAGTACATGTGTAGATCCTGCAGGATTGTTACATAGATATACACACGCCATGGTGGTTTGCTGCCTTCATCCCCCCATCACCTACATTAGGTATTTCTCCTAATGTTATCCCTCCCCAACGTCCCCACCCCCTGCTATCCTTCCCCAGCCCCCCACCCCAAACACACCCTGGTGTGTGATGTTCCCCTCCCTGTATACATGTGTTCTCATTGTTCAACGACCACTTATGAGTGAGAACATGCAGTGTTTGGTTTTCTGTTCTTGTGTCAGTTTGTAGAGAATGATGGTTTCCAGATTCATCCATGTCCCTGCAAAGGACATGAACTCATCCTTTTTAATGGCTGCATAGTATTCCATGGTGTATATGTGCCACCATGTCTATCCAGTCTGTTTTTGATAGGCATTTGGGTTGGTTCCAAGTCTTTGCTATTGTAAACAGTACCACAGTGAACATACGTGTGCATGTGTCTTCATAACAGAATGGTTTAAAATCCTCTGGGTATATGCCCAGTAATGGGATTGCTGGATCAAATGGTGTTTCTATTTCTAAGTCCAAATCACCACACTGTCTTCCACAATGACTGAACTAATTTACACTCCCACCAACAGTGTAAAAGCATTTCTATTTCTCCACATCCTCTCCAGCATCTGTTTTCTTCCGATTTTTTAATGATCATCATTCGAACTGGCATGAGATGGTATCTCACTGTGGTTTTGATTTGCATTTCTCAAATGACCAGTGGTG